TACCCCTGCAGTGCCCAACCGCAAAGTGCCCAGCCGCAGAGTAGTCCTGCAGTATTCAATGGCAAAGTGTCCTTGTTCTGCCCAGCCCTTGCAATGCCCAACCCCACAGCATTTGCCCCTGCAGTGCTAAAACTGCAATAGTCTTGCAGCGCAGTTGCAGTGCTGCAAAGAAGACAATTTGGGGGGCGCATGGAAACATTACATTTGTCGCGCAATAACCTCTCTAGGGTGGGGATGCTCGAAGTATTTTTTTTTGCGCGAACCTGTTCTAGGTCAACGGCAAGATCCAGGATTTAGGAGCCTGCAAATGGCGTCGTGTGCGTGAGGGAGCACAGTCTGCAAAGGCGCATCTCGCCAAAGTCAAATTGGCGGCTAGCGGATCACAAAATGACAGGCGCAGATTCGCTACGCTTTCCTGAACAAGAAGGGGCGCGGAGGGCTTGGCAGTCATCGCACAAAGAAGTCAAGGGCCTGATACCTCCGGCAGGTACCTTGCCAACCTGGCTGCAAACTTGCAGAGTCCTTCTCCAGAAGCTTTTGCTGTGGCAGACTTGGAAGGCACAACATGTTCGCTCTTAAAAGGTTCGCAAGGATATATACAGTCTAAAGGGACATGTGCACCCTGACAGCTGGCAGGCAATCCCATCAAAATTCCTGACGTCAGCGCGTTCTTTTGGCAAAAGGTCGGTGCCCCGGTTCGGAGGCAGCATTGCTCAGACGTACTGTAAAGTGTGAATGTCAGCCTCTGCGTGCTTTGGACTCTGGACTCCTTGAGGACCGCGCGTCAGTGCACATTGATATCAAGGACAAAGATGGCTCTATGAGAGCCATTCTGCCAGCTTCCAAGCTGCCGACGGGATGTAGGGAAGATGTCTGAGCTGGCTGTAAGCATGTTTGCATACCTTGTGATGGCTGAGTGATGATTTGCATAGGCTCCTAGGGACCGACAGAAACTGCACATGAAGTCTTGCTTATCAACAAAGATGCCTAGCCATGCCTAGCTGCATTAGAGCTTGAAGCCTGGAACCCATAACCCAGGCTCAAACAATGTGAGCAGATTTGCTAGCCGCAGGGCAACCTTGCCGCTGGAAGACGGGCTGGGACGCTTCATCCAGAAGCCCAAGGAGTGGGACTGCAAACAATCAGGGAATTAGGTTTGGGGTATATTGCGCAGCATAAGAGCAGTTTAAGTAGGCATCAGCAGCGTTCGCAGCCTGGAAGTCCAATGAGCAGCTGGTCTGCTACATCATTTGCCAGGACCCTGATCCGCCAAAGGCCTCCATAGAGAGTGACACACTCAGGTCAACGCCAGCAAGACGCGTAGAAATTAGTAATCGGGCTGACATGAAGGGTTTCAAGGCTCGTCACTTCAGTCTTTTCTCCACGTATTCCTCATTTCTGAGGCGTCCTGACGATCCAAAGCCGAAGCGGTTTTCCAAAGTCCTATCCCAGGCCAGCGGAAGCACATATTGAGAACTATCCAAATTGTATTGGTCATTTGATTGTGGGACATTATGGGGGCTTATGCCAGGATCATCCCTGTGGCTTGGGGGTATGTAAAGTGACGATATAGAAACATGATCTCCCGACACAGCCACGGAACTGGAACTGCAGATACCTTGGCTTCCAGATGTACCCTGGAGACCTGTGCTCGACTCAGATTATGCGCTGTTACCCTTCGACTGTAGAATTAGGATCTTGCCGTAGCTGTTGTTTGCAAACGTTCTTGGTGGGGCGGAAGGTGACCGGGCTGTTTCGGGTCGAAAAACGGGTTCCGATGCTTTTTTGAATTGTGAAGAGTCACTTGTGCTGATTTGTCAGCAGCCTTCCCTGATTGAAACGGAGCAGTGAGTTCCATGGTGTCGGGTACTTTGTCTCCAAGCTGGGATGGTTTCTTTTCGCAGTTGGGTAGACATCCTCAGTCTCTTCAAGTCTGTGGTTTTGCATTAGGGCCATGGCCACCACATCCTGCTCCACTGGCGCCCTATATAGCTTTCATGGCCTTCTTCTCAAATTGCGAAAAAAACCTTATACCTAAGAGCCTCACGTTTGAAGCACCGCCCATGCAGCAGAGTGACGCTCAGCCAAGGAATTTTCCAGTCATTGACCTTCTTCGAGATGCGCCGTCCAAAGCAGACTTGTAGAAAAAAGGTCGTGCCGCCTGCAACGTCCCTCTCCCACCCATTATCGCAGGTTCAGTAGAGCCAGCGTCTTGCTCGCTGCCATGAAGTCGTTACTCTGCCAAGCTGACAAGCAAAGCAATCCAGCCAGTGGAGTTCCCCAGAATTGCTCCGAACCTCTAGCGCAGACTTGCGTGAGCTGCTTCAAAACAATGCCCTTGATTGGCATCAAAGCAGAGAAATGCTTTGAAAGCTGTTTGTTCTGTTTCCCAGTGGCTTTCATTACACTTTGTTGTTTATCGGTGTGGGCAAGAGAGCATGGTGTCGGTATTGTGAAAACATTCCCAAAAAGTTGCGGTACTTCTTGTTTTTCTGGAGCGTCCCCGTGCACGCAAGCGGAGCAATGAGAAGGAGCAGAGATGGGACATGCTATGACAGCTGTCCGTGGCCCCAACGCAGTTCTGGATCAGTACCCCTGTTTCCCGAAGCTCCGTCGCGTTAGCAGCCATGGTCCTCTCCCGTATGCTGAGTGTGGCAGCTGTTGCTGGGGTGGCGCTAGCAGGAGATACTTGTGATGTGGAAGGTTCTGCTCGGCAGGACTGTGGTGTGCTAGGCACGACACAAAGTGACTGCGAGGCGAAGGGCTGCTGCTGGCGCCCCGCTGACGGAGCAGCCTGGTGCTTCTACCCTCAGGGTGGTCCCGCTCCTCCTCCCCCTCCTCGATCAGAATGCAAGCTCGCCTACAAGTCGGATGGCCAGCCCTTCACTGATGATGAGGAGGCTAAGGTTCGCAGCTTCTTCCTTGCGAACATCGACATCCAAGGCTCCGGTGCAGTCGTGGCCGCTCCAGATCACAACACAGGGCCGGGCGGAGATTATCATTTCCACTGGGAGCGTGACGGTGCCCTCTCCACCCATGCCCTGCTGGCCACTGCTGACAAGCTGACAGACGTGGACGAGCACCTGCAACACTATGTTCAATGGGTCTTGAAGGTGCAGAACCAGGACGACCCCCACGGCATCGACGTTCGCGCAGAGCCCAAATACACCATCCCAGACGGCAAGCCCTTTACCGGTGCCTGGTGCCGCCCTCAGACCGATGGACCAGGGCTGCGAGCGAAGACGCTCTCCGAATATGGACTGGCTCTGCTCGAGGCTGGTAAGGCTGACTTCGTGAAGCAAAATCTTTGGACTGGAAGCGACGACAAGCACGGTGGCGCCGTAAAGTATGACCTGGAGTGGCTAGCATCGAACTGGCAGCAGAGCGGTTGTGATCTCTGGGAAGAGATCCAGTCTGAGGATTTCTTCTGGGGTCGCTACACCATGCGAGCCAGTCTTGAGATCGGTGCTCAGTTTGCGGAGAAAATGGGTGACAAGGATGCTGCTGGCCGCTACAGAGGGGTCAAAGCCGACATTGAGAAGACGCTCATGGGCCACTTTGACGGCACCTTCGTTTTCGAATCACAGAACCGCAAGAAGGACTCCGCTGTCATCGAAGCCTTCAACGTGGGTGATCTCAATGATGGCATGTTCAACGTGCTGGGCAAGGAGGTCTTGGGCACTGTGATCACCCTTAACGACCTCTTCTGCAACGCCTACGAGATCAACCAGAAGGATGGCGCTGCAGGCATCCCTGGAATTCTCTATGGCCGCTACGAGAACGACAACTACGACGGTGGCAACCCTTGGGTGTTGCTGTCTGCGTCTCTAGCTACGCTGCTCTACCGCCAGTCTGCTGCAGCCCTTTCTGTGGGAAGCATTGACCCTGCCACGTACAGCCTCCTCCAGAAGGCCACTCATATTGAGGCCAGCAGAGCGCTGCAGTCTTTAAGTTTTGCATGGTTATGATTTATTTTGATGCCAGGATGGGCTCTCTGGAAAAGACTTAGCAGAAGCTCTCCTGGGCGCCGGGGATGGAGTGATGCTGCGCATCAAGCACCATGTTCAGGACTGAACTGGAGACCTTGCTGCATGCTCTGCTGCGTGGGCTGCTGTCCCCGAATTCCTCTGCTTTCGCCAGGCCACTGACCTTCACATGGCCGAGCAAATCAAGAGAGATGACGGATCCATGAGCAGCGCCAAGGACGGTATCGCGTGTCTAGTTGAACGGATTGGCGCTGCTGCAATTTGAAGCACGAACTCGATGGTGTGCCTTACTTCTCGAGGACCTGACTTGGAACTACGCCAACATGCTCAAAGCCTTCAAAGCCCGCAAAGCTTCTGCGAAGGCCTGGTGGAATTCTACGAGATGAGTCGCTTGTGAAGCACGTTGCTCCAAGGGCTTGTCGCATTGCCTCGTTGCCGCTAACCTCTGCTCACCGCCTCCTGCTCCTGCTGCTGCTCCTGCTCCCGTTTCTGCTGATCCTCTGAGTGATGTGTGCGAGGCCATCGCCGCCGTCTCCAAAGTTATGGTGGTTTGAATGTGGTCGGCCCATCTTTTTCAAGTGTCGGTATCTCGCATTCCTGAAGTGAGGATTATAGTCTAAGCTTGTAGCCTGAAGTGCATGTTTTCCAAAGGCAAAGTGGCAGCTCCACTCCGCTGCTGCCACGGCAATGGTTGGAGACTTGAGCTTCTGCAGCGTTTGTGGCTCTTGGAGTGCATGTCCGGGTACTGGCAATGACTGAGGCCGGAGGCACAGAGTCAGCAGCGAAGGGCACTTGGCCGCTTCGGGCTGCTGCCGAGGAACGTTCCAATTACTGATCTTGATTCCATCGCCGCTGCCTCGCGAAGGCGAGAGATAGGGGGGGTGAAATTTTGTCGGGCCAATTTCTGATGCGTCCTCCTGATTGATGACGCCTCTGTGGGCCATAACATCTCTTGTTTGCTAGAGTTTTGCGGATCGTTTCAGAGTCCTCCTGATTTGAAGCCGGAGAGAAAATTGTGGCGCTCCATTCAGTAGCGGAAGGGAGGACCCAGGAGGAAAGGGCAGGGGACATCAGCAGAGATGAGACTTGATGGGACATGCTATGACAGCTGTCCGTGGCCCCAACGCAGTTCTGGATCAGTAGCGCCTCAGTAGCCCTGGTTCCCGAATGTCCGTTCACAAAGGGCCTATTCCGAAACAAGCATGGCGCAGAAGAAGACAGCGGACAGCGCCAAGGAGAAGGAGGAAAGTTTTGATTGGTTCCTGTTTGGCAAGACCAGTTTCTTTGCCTGCCTGAACCTCTTGGACTTTGTCACGGATATCCTGGTACTGCTGCAGTTCGGCTGTCTCTTTGGTGCGCCGCTCCAAACAGACTGCAGCCACTCGGATTCCGCTCCAGACTTGCCTAATGCCCAGTGCACAGTGCACCCATGGTGGCTCGCCATAAGTGCGACGATCCTTTTCTGCTCATCTGTGGGTTCAGCCTACATGTACAGCCGAAAAAGCCGCCGCGGAGTTCGCAACCAGGAGGTGCGTATGCTTGCCGGTGGCATCAGCTTCATCGTGGCGCTGCTTCAGCTTGCACCCTTCATGGATTTGATTCACATGTATCGCCATCGTGGCAAGTTTATGGATGAGGAAAAGAAGAAGCACATATTGATGAGGGACCTCGTCATCAAATTAGTGGAGTCAGCTCCGCAAGCCTTCTTCCAGGCCTATGTGCTATTTGCTCTAGAAGCTCACCGGCAACCTTTGAGGGTGTTTTCGCTTTCAGTTTCGGTTTGCAGTCTGTCGCTGTCGTTGGCGCTGGCACTTCCTGAACTTACTCCAGCTGATGAGTTGGTTTGGACCATGTATCCGGATGAGGAGCAGGATTTTCAGTTAGAGCATGCTACCAAAGAGTCTTTAGGCTCAGAATCCGAGGAGTGCGATTTTGAACGTGGGTCTGCCCATGACCACGAAGGGAGGAGCCTCCTGGAAGAGGAACCTGGACTTAGGGCATCAATCACGCAAGCAGCCGCAAGAATGCAGGCAAGGGTCACAGAGAAGAGGAAGAGTCGACAGAGCCATTACGCAAGGCGCACCACCCTTCTTCAACAACTGCCAAAGGCTGTGACTCCTCGTCCACAAACCATGGGATCTCCTCAGGCGGAAGGGGTTGACCATGGGCCTGGAGCTCCCAAACAGGTACCTTTGAAAATCCTCGGGTCCCCACTGCACGAGTCCAAGATTGGAAAATTTGTTTTCTGGATCTATTTGGCAGCCGATACACTCATCCGATCCGGGGCCTACTCTGTGGTCCTGTCTGAGCCACTAAGGCACCTGGGCATTCCCTTCTCAATCACGTTCGCTCTCCTTCAGCTTGTACTGGCTTTTTGGGATCTCCTTGTGGAGCTGCTCCATGAGACATGGGATGTCCTGATTAAGATGTACGAAGGCATCAAGATGATCCTCGGAGTAGAGAGGAGTCTGGTCACGGCCATATGGCTTCTATGCGGATCACCCCACATGTCTGACCCAGGATCCGATGGTCCACAGGATTGGGATGTTGGTTGCGCGCAGCTATGCAAGCCGTGCCTGCCATGCTTGAAGGCGGGTGCAACGGTCGCTTACTTTGCCGCCATTCGACCCATCGGTCTGGTCATTGGATTGGTGCTTGGCGGGATTCTGCTTACGCTCTTCCTCATTACTATCTCCCCTGTCGTGACTTTCGTGACCTTGGTCGTTGGAAGCTTTGCGATTGCCATGACTTCGGTGCCTGTGGTTTTGACCTTTCGTCGGGATCCCCAGCAAAAGGTTGCTTTTGCCTCCATGCGAATTGGGGAGTACTTCTGTTTTGGCTTCATGGCTGTTATGTTGGGGCAGACCCCCTGCGGAGAATCATTGCACTGGGAGATGCGAGCCTTCTTCCTCTTGCTCGGGATCAATCTTGTGGCGTTGCTGATTTTTGTGGCCTTGCACTACTGCCTGAAGCCAATTGTGCGATGGGAGCGATCCTGGGGGGACAGACTCTCATGGCTTGTCTCTGCATTGCTCTGCACTGGCAAAACCCAGAAGAGCAAAGCGCAAACTGAAGCTGAGAGCCGAGGCACGTGTTTCAGCTTCTGTCCGCGATGGGGATGCTGCGCTGGCAGCAAACCAACATTGCTAGAAACGGAGTAGTTGTACAGGATTTGTTGCGAATTGCATGCCTTGCTGTACAATTGAATAGAATCGTATGCGGGCAGGTGTGCTTACTGGACTCCGGTAGATGAAACGCATAAGGGCGCAGCTGCGCGGCCCAGAGATGTTTTGCCGAAGGCATTCATGGGACTCCTGTTCATACTCCCCTTCCGCAAAAGTTGTATGCGAAGGCATCCGACGTTCATTGACAGTCAGCGATTTGCGAAGCTCACGGCACAAAGTGTGCTTATGGTTGCTGTTGCACCTGCCGCTGCATGGGCTTTACAATTTCTGAGATTTTAGGGCTCTTCAGAAAAGCTAGAGGCCATAAAATGTGCGGGGGGCGACCAAAAATCTCGGAGTTTTTTGGTCGCGCGACACTCCCCTCCCAACCCCACCCTCTCTGCCTCATTTATCTCTCTCTGGCTGTCTGTGCGGTGGCTCGGTTGGTCGCGCTCCCGACAGGTACGGTGACCTAAATTCTCGAAGATTTTGGAGGTGCCCCCGTGTCGACCTCTGATGAACATTCTGTGAATCGGAATAACGGTCAGGCAATCAAGGTGCTGGCGTGTCAATCTCTCCGTGGTTTGGTCTGTCGTCTGTCTTTCTGATGATGGTCTGTCAGTCTGCGTGTCTCACGAGTCTATGAATCGATTTGTCAGTTTGTCGGTCTGACCGGCTATCTTCTAGCAAATCTGTCATTCTCTTGTTTTATCGATCTGCTCTGAAGTCTGGTTATTCTTCGGTCTTATATCTATCAATCTATCTAATAAATGATCTGAAAGAAAGATCATCATTTCATAATATTCTAATACTCCTATCGAGATGAGATTGTTGGCAAATCGGTCTAGAGAGATCGATCTACTAATTTCTTTGAATTCTTTTTTTGATATTTAGCTCGCCGTCGAATTTATCAATTTCTCATTTATAGATTAGAATAAATCTATTTGATGAATATGATGATATTTTTTCTGAAAATATCATATTATTATTTATTGGAATTAGATGATTCTTTTATGATATATATATTATAGGATTGGTTCATTTCAATAGCAGAAAATATTGATTTGAACCAAAATAGAATGAGAAATCTAATGATGAGGAATATATGCTTTCGTATACGAAATCTAATGAATTATTAATATTGAATTAAACATATTTTAAGATTGCATATGATATATAGATATTGAAAATATCTGATGATTTTCTCTCCCCTCCCCCGTATTACGATCAAATATGATATTTGAGGGTCTGATCTTTGGATCGCGTGCTCCGCATATTTACTCTAAATTTTCTATTTTATATATTTCGTATAGATTAGGCTAGCGCATAAATATATATGGATAGATATAGGCAATATATAAATTCTAAAAGGCAATTAGGTCCGCGCGACTAAAAAAATAGATGAGATTTTTGATCACGCTTCTCGTAGCAAAATCTTCAGAGATTTTAGAGATTGTAGTTTCTCTAAAGGATTTTTAGATTTTAGAGAGTCCTTAGGGAATTCGGGAGAGTCGGAAAGGTTAAGTCGCGGCCCGATCGAAATGGTCGCGCCGTAATGGTAAAAAAAGATATTTCGTAGAAATATATGAAGAAATATGAAATTTTTTTCTAAAAGGAAAAGAATAATGATATGAAGATCTCGTGTCTATTCTCTGAATGAAGTTGTTTTATATTTTTTTATTTTCTCTTTTTAGAATTAATATATATTAGATTTTTATATAAAAGGTTCGTATATTCAGGAATATTATGAGATATTAATATTGGGAAGATATTCATTTTTTGAGAAATGAATTATCTAAATTTCATTTTAATTTCTGAAAATATGGGAATTAGAAAAAGATATATTTTCTAAATTGAATAAGAAGGATAATTCTATTTGAAGAATTAGAATAGGATATTAAATTATATTGAATTTCTATATTTTATATTTGATCTATTAGCAGATCTTCTTTTTAAAGGATTCTTTTATAGATTCTTTAGGCGCTCTAAAGGGAGGGTCCATTTCTATTTTATTATTTTTCTTCGTATAACGTCTTCTTTCTCATCTAATTCGTGGGGGAGGGAAATGGAATTTTATGATTGGAAGACGAATGTTGATTCTTCTCATTTTTCTGGAATCTTGGAATGACCATAGAGATATCTATTTAGATTATTCTTTAGAATGAATAATCGTCGGCTTTATATCATTCTCTATATTCGACTAGAATCCGGGATGCAAAATAAATATCTCCGAATTCTTGATATGGGCGACGCAATCAAAAAGATCTGAGATTTTTGATCGTACGATTCTTATTTCTGGAACGATTTGGGATTTATCTCTCTTTGACTAGTCACGCGGTTAGTCGACGGAATATATAAATTCGAGATAGAGAATCAAAAATTTTCAGAAT